CATAATGTTGTAGGCGATTGTTTGAGCCAGAAGAAAAACCCAGGTGACCGTGGAGACGACGTGGGCAGTTCGTACTGTCTGCAGGATGTGAGTTCCTGAAGGATGGACGATCTTCAGATATCTGCAGAGAGAAGAGAAAATGTGGTAAAAAAAAACTTCACCAAATAAGTCACAGTGGTGCCAAATATGCAGAAGTCACTATACGGTGAAAATAAATATTCGTGTTGTTGCTAGGACTGAAGAGTTTGTAAATAACCCAATAATCTGGTTTTAACATTCTCGTGAACTGCAAATGATCCTCAGTAAAGGTTCCTTACCTGTTAACAGCGATGTACCCCATGAACAGGATGCTGGCGTACATGTTGAGGTACAGGGAAGTAGCTCCAATGCTGCAGTGGAGTATGTAAACAATGCCAGAGCCGCTGGCATAGTGGATTATCCGCAATGGCAGAGAGAGGCAGAGCAGGAAGTCAGCAGCTGTCAGGTGCTTCAGGTAGACCATCAAGCTGTTTGAGGCCTGCTGCCGAACTTGGTGAAAGTAAAACTTTAGGATGAAGCCATTGAGGAGTAAACCCACCTGAAGAGACACGAGAGGATGAAGAGGACAGGACTTTCAAACATTCAGGTTCTAACAGGGCGCAATCTGAAAATTTTAACCGTACCAGAAACAGCAGACTGTAGACCAGCATAAAGAAAGGGTTGACTGATGGGATAAAAAGATCATGCGTGTGGTTGAGAGGTGAAGTCATATTTGTTGAGTCAATCATGCTTCTGTGGCTGAAAAATAAATACAAATCACAGAGGTTCTTCAAGACCAACCTTCTTTCATCTGATCAAAGTTAATTTATGTGTTTGAGGATGATTATTGTATTTAATCCTCAGAAAGCTTTAACTTGATACAAAAATGATGGCACATGTAGATTAAAGCAGTCACTTATACTATCACATCACCATAACTTGATTGATTTTTTTTCTTGTGTTTTACACTTTTCTCCCCGACATTCTTGGTCGTGTTTTATTTGTTGTGCAACGGGACATGGACCCACAAATTTTCATGAGAGTAGTAGCATGTCTTCTACTCTTTTTGGGACTTTTTACCACCATTTCTGGAGAATCTGTAAGCCACCCCATTGTTTACAGTAGGGAACAGCTACTAGCACTGGGCAACAGGAAAGTACTCCCGGAGGAGCGACCCAAGATTCCAAGGAATTACGGCGTCAGAGGAGGGGATGCAGGGCTGGAGTGAAGTACCAGGAAAGAAGGAGACGGTACAAACCAAGCATTCCATCCATTCTCATGGGTAATGTAAGATCTTTACCCAACAAGATGGAAGAGCTAATTGCGCTAACCAGACTGCAGTGGGAGTACAAGCAGAGCAGCCTCCTCCTGTTCACTGAGACATGGCTCACGGACCACACACTCTGTCATAACTCTGGATGGCTTTCAACTGGTTAGAGCACCGGAATGCAATGGAGAGTGGTAAGAGGAGAGGTGGGGGACTAGCAATGTCTGTCAGTGAGAGATGGTGTAACCCAGGGCACATCACTGTGAAGGAACAGAGCTGTACCAAAGACATTGAACTGTTGGCAGTTAGCGTCCGGCCATACCACCTGGCCAGGGAATTTTCACACGTTATTGTGCTGACTGTTTACATCCCACCCTCGGCCGACGCTACAGCAGCCTGTGATTACATTCACTCCACTGTCTCTCAGCTACAGATGGCACATCCGCAGTCCCTCATTATTATTTCTGGGGACTTCAATCATGCCTCACTATCTGTCACTCTCCCTAACTTCTCCCAGTACGTTGACTGCCATACAAGGGACAGCAAAACCCTGGATCTATTGTTTGCCAACACAAAGCAGGCTTACATCGCATCACCCCTCTCCCCGCTTGGCCACTCAGACCACAATCTGGTACTTCTCCACCACACTTATAACTGTGTATGGTGAAGAGTAAACATCCCACAAAGAAGGTGATAAGGGTGTGGTCTGGGGAATGCAGATCAGCTGAGAAGGCAGCTCAAAGGACGAAGGCAAGGAAGGCAGCAGTTCGCCTACTATTCTGGAATTGGGGTGGATGACGCTGTCATCTACCTGTTTTACCAATTCCTCTCTCACCTAGAGCAGGCGGGGAGCACTGTGAGGATCAGTGTTGCCCCCCTGGCAAAACTTTGCTAGACCCGCCCCTGCACAGTTACCAGCTGTCAGCTACTTAAAAAAGGATCCTGGTGTTATTTGTCTCTCAGAAACAGTTCATAACTTCCCTTCAACTCATTCATGTCACCTAAAAGGTAAACCTGTTTCTCCATCACAGCTCTGATGATTCAGTAAGGACATCTCCTGGTTTCATCTTCATGTTTCCCTCTCACCAGATAACCAAACCGATATCATGACCAGCAGCTTTTACGGCTGTTGATAGGTTCGTAGCATAAACCTATAAGCTGTTCACTGGAACGTTCAAGACAATTCTGCTACACAGCAAGTGTCAAGATGTGACCCCATAAATGAATTCCCTAATCCTGCTGGTCTGGAAGTCCAGCCGTTCATCTAAACAAAAGGCAGTTAGACTAAAACAGATATACTTGTGTTTGCTATACCATAAAACAAAAAAAGAAGGTACGACCTCTTCTCGTGACCCCAGGATGTGAGTGTGTATGCCAGAACACTCTGGAAGGCACACAGAGTCTTTACAGACTGCTAAGGATCAAACCTCTATCAATATGCAATTGATTATAAAACTCTAAGCATATATGAGTAAATATTTCTAAGCATAAATGACAATCAACCATATAAATCTAACAATTGTGGCTCCAGCAAACATCAGCTGATACTAGAAATTAATATTAAATAAATTCTAACAACAGCTGATCAAGCTTAAACGTGCTGCTGTTGTTTAGCGCGACATCCGCTGGTTTCCTCTTTCTGGCGCAAAGTGAGCGATAAACAAACAAGAAAGCCGATCAGCTGATCATTGATCAGTTTCATGATTGAAGTAGAAACAGGAGAGGGAGGGGAGAGGATGAGAGAAGAAGAGGCAGCTGTGCAGCAAAGACACAGAATAACTCCAGCTTTGTGTCTTTTTCATTGTAGCTGAAGTCCGGGACAAACTGTTCCTTTTCACCTCAATACGAAACACGTAATATTTTCTCTGAATACCAGACGATTCTGTCAATAAGTCTTATCTTATCTTATCTTATTCTTATCTTATCTTCTGGGATCAATAAAGTCTTATCTTATCTTATCTTATCTTATCTTATATATACTGAATCTTGAACACAAGCAGAAGGAGGCTGTGGTCCTGAGGTAGCTGTGTGAAGTGCTTCTCTTTCCTGTGGCAGGAGCCGCTAAAAGTCATCTTTTAAGTTAAGTATGAAATAAGTAGGAATACTTATTTCAGATGATTTGAGGATGTGTAACCGGCAGGACTCACCTGTGTTTTTCCAGTTTTCGGTGAGCAGGAAAAGCTGCTTGTGCCTATACGTCCTCTCAGTTTAACAGTATCGCCGTTGATGAGGAAAAACACAGTAACCAAACTGCTAACCAGCGCTTTGACTTATTTCCTGTTTGTCTTCACTGCTATAAACAGAGACAGTAACGTGACTTGAAGATGTGTGTTTATTACATACTTCATGTGTGTGCATTTCTTTACTTAGATGATCTCGTATTTAGTCACATCATTGATATTTGGCAATATTTACAGACTGAAATCTGCCAAAAGCACCAACAAGACAGATGATTTCTGACCTGTCTGTGCTGGACTTCAGTCCTTTTGGCTTGTTTTTGTTTTGAAATATTGCTGTTTTTAATTGCACTTTGACATTAACTTTAATTTTAAGCGCACTTGTTACTCTGTTTATCAAAACCACCAACACCAGCTGCATCATCATCCTTCAGTTGTTTTTTTCATTTTCCTGGAGTTCTTCTACTAGAGCACCTCCTACAGGGTGTTGCTGGCAAAGCAGAGGCAGCTGGCCTCTTCTGCCTTTCATATTCAGTTGAGACCAGTGAAACCACTGCCTTACAACCCAGGCCTTCATAAAAAACACAGGTTTTTACTGAGATTGGAGATCAATATGAGGCTCAAGTCAACACAAACATACTCCCAAACAGATAGCATGAGTTTATGTTCTTACTGTAGCCAATCAGGTTACAGTGCCACCCTGTACACTTTGAACTCCTGTCTCTGCTTTATGTAGGCAGTACATTTGCAGGTTGCTTTCTTCACATGGCTGTAATTGGGTTGGTCTCTCATTCTCATTCATTCACTCCATGTCTTGAATTTGGTATTCTTGCTGGAAAGGCGCAGCAAGAACACCAAACGCAACCACAGGGCAGCCACTAGTCAGTGTACTACTAGTGCTGGTCCCTGGGAAGGGTCATGTTAGGATGGGCATCCAACATAAAATGGAATAGGGGCAATCTTGAAGAAAGAGTATGTGAATAGTCTTGTAAATACTGATGAATGTTAATGTTGCTGACCATAATAGACATGTAGATGAACAGAGATGATGAGAAGATATTGGGTGGGTATGCTGTTAAGGAGAGGAATGTAGAGGACTGACAGTATTGGATTTTGCAGGAACCTGAAGCACGTATGAAGGCTAGTGATGGGATTTCTGGCTCTTTTTAGAGAACCGGCTCTTTCGGCTCCGAACCGGCTCTTCAGGTTATTTTGTTGCTTTAATTAATTTATTATTAACAACAAACAAAAGGAATTACTAATGTAAATAAAAAGTGGTTTTATTTATATATGTTTATATATGCTTGTGGGGATAGGTTAATTGGATAATCCAAATTGCCACTAGGTGTGAATGTGAGTGTGAATGGTTGTCTGTCTCTGTGTGTTGGCCCTGCGACAGACTGGTGACCTGCCTGTCCAGGGTGTACCCCGCCTTTCGCCCTATGACAGCTGGGATAGGCTCCAGCGCCCCCCGCGACCCTGAAAAGGATAAGCAGAAGTGAATGGATGGATGGATGGACGTTTATATATAAATATAATATATAAATATATGCGGTGGCCACCTAGACACAAAGCATGTACAAACTCCAAAACACACTTCTAGCATTAACATAAGGAGCCGGCTCACGTTGTTCACGTCAAAGATCCGGCTCTAAGAGCCATTTCGTTCGCAATTCCTGCTGTCAGGACAATGCTTTTAAAGAATACCAGTCAGCTGTAAAAATAGCTTTTAATCTTTATTTATATAAAAAAAACATTGAAAACAAAATGTAAACCAGAAAAACATTTACATGAAACAAGTATTTCGTTCTGAAAAGTGCAAAAAGTTTAGGAAACAACATGACAAAGATTTTATTAGAAACTATGCTCAGTGGTGACATCAGCCATAGCATCATCATACGGATGGTCTTCATCTTCCTCAGTGGGTGGAGACATTGTTCTTTGATGTGAGTTTCTTCCTGTTAAGTGTATAGTGAGCATTAATTGTGTGAAACAATGCAAATGACCAAAAACTGACAGCCCACATTTCACTGATTGTTTAACAAAGAGAACATGTCAAAAGTAATTCTTTTAGATTCAATTCTCATTTTGAATCTAATGGCCCATCATGTATGCACACTTCTTCTTTTCCTTGCAGTGTTATCTGCCTCTCTGCAGCTTCTCTATTCTCTATTCCTGCCATCCCCCCAAAACCTCATCCCTATGGAGACTGTCTACTTCTACACCACCAGAAATCAGGCAGAAGGATCCAACCTTGGTCACAAACCACAGTTTGCTAGCCAGTGGATCCAGAATGCACTACTTCCAGAGACAGAGGATGACTATAAATCATAGCCTTTATTTGTAATAGCAAATAAAACAAACTAGACAGAGATTACACACATAATGAGGGAGGACGTGACAAAGAACAGCAGCAGACACAGACTATAAATACACTGGAGGAGATTAGGAACGAGTGGAAACACCTGGGAGCACAGCTGGGCAGCAGACGGACAAAGGACAAAACATAGATGATAATGGAAACAGGAAGGGATAAACACAGGATTTAACTAAATGGGTGGATGGGTGATATTTGAACATAATAATGTTACCTGTAGACCCACGATATATAGAGACCATGAGGAATGTAGAGATTATATATGGAAAGTACACCAAGATGTGGCGCAGCATTCCCAGAGAAGACAGGTTTTTGTCTGAATCTGAATGTGAGGCGGGAGCATCAGGATCTAGAAACAAACAAGCACAGCTGGTTCAGTAAATAAAGAAAATACATTTTAAAAAGATGACAGTCACTTGATTCTTTGGACTTTCAAAGCTTTCATCCTGTTTTACCTATGATGAACAGCCAGCTGGATGGAGACTCTCCCACACTCATGTTACACTTGTAGATGCCTTCATGAGACTTGGTGACATTATAGATGATCATGTGACCTCTAGGCTCAGTACCAACAATAGAGTTATCTTTGTAGAAGGTTGCTGGGAGGGTGGACTGAGTGTTCTTTGTTTCACAGAACAGAGTAACATTATCTCCCTTCATCATGGGGAGGACGGGACTCTGCAGGATTACCGGAGTATCTCGACCTGCTCGGAGATAAAGTCCATCATTCTTCAGTAAGGAAGATAACTCACAAGTAAACAACATTCAAGAGAGTTGCAAACTTTCCCAGGAGATCCCGACAGAAGTAGGGTCTAAGGTCCGACCGTGCAAGTGTCAGCCATCATCCACCTGCTTCCCTTTCCCTCGTTACCTGTGTGTGTGTGTGTGTGTGTGTGTGTTGTGTGTCCTGGTTTTCCTGGAAAACCTAGCCTTTCCCCTACCTGGCGTAATCACACACACCTGCAGCTGATTAACCTAATCTCGGGAGCTTCTTAACAGAGCTCCCGTCGATGCTGGATCTTTGTGAAATTTCCCATCAGTTTCCCAGCAAAACCGTACGCTAGAAAGTTTGAGGTTGCTGCGAGTGTAGAAGTTACTCATGGCTTCCTCTGTGATTTTCCAGGAGATTAGTGTAAATGAGAGGACAAAGCAAGCACGTTGCACGTAGACACACAGGGAGCGGAAACTAGGACCACGGACACTGGGAGAAGACACAGCATGGGAATCGGGGACGCAGACTCATCAGGATCACGCATGGGATTTATCGGGTCATGATTATTTGCTGCACTGTAAATAAAAGTGCTGTATTCATCGTACAGAGTCCTGCGTTTGGGTCCTGTAATCCTGACAGTCAGTGGTTTTTCTTCCTCAGTAGAAAACAGCTAATAAAAGCTGCGAGTACTGCTTTGGGTTACACTTCCTGCCTGCCACACAATGGTTACAAGACATTCACAATGATTTCCAACCTCCCTTCAGCTGCTGGTTCAGAAAACGGTTAGTTTCTCAAGGTTTCATGCCCCCCTCCCACACACATACACCCTTCAATTGTATCTGCATCTGTCTCTTGGTTCTTTTACAACAACTTTCAGTTGTTGGGACAATTATGTTTACTTTTAGTCGTCCCTCATTCTTAGAAAATTTGAAGGGTTTCTGTTTCTAAAGGTTTTTTTTACTGAACATACCATGAACAGTGATGTTGACTGAGTTGCTCCGCTGCTGTGTAGGAGACTCGCACCAATAAACCGCGCTGTCAGGCTGCTTGGTTGTATGGAGGACGCAGCCATCGGAAACGACTTGCCCCCATGCTTGACAACTGGACAGGTCTTCAGCAAATGTTGTGAACCTCTTTACTGTCCATCCTTGAACACCACAGTTCAGGTTCAGGTTCTTATACTCAAACAGCTGAGCTGTGTTGGGAGATGGTGTGAGAGTTGGGGGGTCAGCATCATCTGGGGACAGAAGCAGACTTTACATCAGTGTGTTTAACTTTTTTTTTTTAATGTAATTTAAAAGTCCTCTTCACACACTTAGATGTTGTGTGGCTGTCCTGGCACACCCAAGAGCACAGCTGGCTCATTCAGCACTCAGCCAGATAACCAGGCAGTGTTAATCAGGCTCTACAACAGTTACAGGTGTTCTCGTCCTCCTCTATACTATCCATTTTATTAGTTTATTAAGCAGTGTAGTGACTTATTTGCTTGCTTCCGGGTGTGGTGGGGAGTCTTGTTGCATTAATACTGGCACTTGGATTTAGCTATTAGCTTGAGCTACTGTTATTTCTAAGACCTGAAAGCTGCCAGTCATTGCCTCCATCAAGCAGTTGGTGTTTAAGTGCTTTGGTCCAGTCAAGTTGAGGAAACGCCTACAGCAGCTCAGTTTTTGCTCGTTTCCTGTTGACGTCCACTTTACTAACAAGCAGCATTAAAAGGTATTGATACTGCTATCACTGGTGGACTTGGGGGATCTTAAAAGTCCTCTATAATTAAATCTCAGTGTGTTCAGGCAGCAGCTGGTGGATTTGAGTAACAAACTCAAGTACATGTCGTTTTTCATCTTTAGACCCATGATTAGTGTCAAGTTTGTGCTGCCATTGGTTTTTCAGTAGAACATCCAAGGCACACATCCAGCCTCTGAGAGGAAAAGCATCAGTTACTGCCATAATTTACTTAATCTGTATCTAATATTTGCTTTTTGCATGTTTTAAACAAATATAACAGTAAAAAAAAATACCTTTTTATAACAAACCAAATCTGAAATCAGAAATGATTGCTTTGTTTTTTGTTATTGAATGTGGTGTAATTTTAAAGACCTGACTTCCAACATCAAGTCTATCTACATAAGTCCACCACACCAAAATAACCAAAAAAACAACAACACATCAGACTAGCATGCTAGCTAAACTCTACCACTCCCCATATGATGAATGACCTCAGCTGTACTTCATTTATTCAACAGACAAACAGAAAAAGAGAAAAAACTGAAGTAAAAAAAATTTAATTTGGTGTGGCAAATATATTTTAGCTTATATTGACACTAGCTAACCAGGAATTGGTTTATAAAACACATATTGTCACTGCTAATGAGCTGATAACATTATAGTGTAATGTAAAATTAATAATTGGATTAACAAAAACAAATGCTGCATAAAAATCAACATAGTATAGTTTACAACACTACAAAGGACATGTTTGTGATGCCCTTGCAGAGCACAACCACTGACGTAGTAACAATACCTGTAAAAACATTTCACTGCCACTTGGCCAGGAGTGGACGAGTGCTTGCAGACGAGTCCTCAGCTTTCATACAAACATGGAGGTCTCCACCAGTATATCTAAGACCGGTGTAGCTCAGACATGTGACACTTAACAAACAGAGTTCATTTCAAAGGATTGTAAAATAGCTGAAATATGTAAAATGTTATAACACAGAATATATCAGTACTTTTAACACATTTGCTTTATTAATAATAGCCTAATAAAAATATGAACATTTGCAAATTTACAGTTTCTAACCTGAGTATATGAGACAATAGGAGAAACCTACAGCCAGTATATATAAATGAACTGCAGCTAAACTCTGATTATCATTTACATTATGTGTGGACATACCAATATATTG